CATTGTTCAAAACCCCAGTGACAACAACATCCATAATATGGTGGTGAGGAGGGATGCCCTGAAATCCAATCTGGTCGCATGATGTTATGATTTCTGCTGGAATCCTTCACAACAACAACATCCGCAGCAGCAGCACACAACAACAACCGGATTTACTAGAATCTGCTTATCTGACGTTCTGAGCCGCCTCACAGAGAAAAACACAATTTGGGATTAACTGATCTCTTTCTCTCAATTCCACATGTAAAGAGCTTCCGTGATGATTACAGTAATGATGCACATCATTTTATTTTTAAGCCAAATTCTGTGTAATAAAATGTAGCTTTGTATTTACCACAAATTCACTACATTGTGGCAAAAGATTTTGCTGTGATTGGTTGTGTCTGCATCTCATTGGTGGTTGTGATGGCAGTGATGGTGTAGTAAGTTGATGCCTGACTTTATTACCTCTGGCTGTTCTGAAACAACCTGTGAGGATTTACAAGTGCTTCCAAACAGTATAAAGTAATGGCTACACATTAGTACCACACAACCTCTGATCAGGTCGATAATCAGATGGTAAAGTTTTCAAAAAGCTCTGTTTTCCCCACTCATGCTGCAGAAGATAAAAAAGACAGTTTTTGGAATTGGGAATGGTGTCTTAGTGTAGACAGAGGGCCAAAACAGAGAGAACTTTTTTTTTTAACAGGTAAAATGTATCCTCACTAGAGTTACGCAGACACGCCATAGCTCATTAAAAACACTTAGATGAGACTGAATGTAAAACCTTTGTAAGTGCTAGAAAAATGCATTTTATTTAAATAGAATCTGAACTGACACAGTGCTATCAAAGATGTGTTTGACCATGGTTTTAATAAGCCTAGATAAATTATGGTGGTCACTACATTTAAAATGTTGTATAAATATATCTTTAAATGGACAGACACCCATTTTGTAGAGACCTCACCAAAGAAATGACAGCACAAGATGTCCTATGTTTATGTTTTCTTGAAAAAGAGTACTCCATCAAGAATATATTGTCTGATTTATAATGGATAGTTTTATAACAAAAAGGATCAAAATGGATGCAGAGATATTGAGAACCAGAGATACTGTCTTTTAGATTCCATGCATTTTTCTTCCTCGTCAAAACCTGGCACCTACATTACCCACAATGCTACTCAAATGCTGACAGCTCAGCCGGGAGATTCAGTGTGATGTGCTAGTCGTGGCAGTTGTAGTGTTGAGTGTCCACTAAGCTCACTTCCATCTAACTCCACACCCTGACATTTTTTTAAATTTTCAAACCCATACCAGACCCAACCAACACTGATTCAGGTGACATCACATGTTTAAATTTAATTTATCAGACTTCATACAATTCCCTCCAGAGCCACAAAAGGCATTTTTTCCCCCGCATATGTAGTTGTAATTTCAACACCTGTAAACACAGTTTGATGAGCAAAATGGTGGAGTTCCCTTTAAATGATCTCTTGCAATTTTGTGAATAATTACGTCCTCTCCACCACATAAACATTGAGATTGATGGTTGGATGTACAAGAACTAAAAACAAAGAATGCTATCTATGGGCTAAAACAGGAGGAGTTTTAGTCACCTAAAATTCTTGATTATATTAAATTGTGACAGCATGTCATGAACTTTAAACAAGGTATTGTGCTGTTAACATTTGGATTCCATCATGCACGCCTGAGCACCACCTTAAATTCTTTGACAATGTAACCATAGCACACGGACTTACCATGTGTGACATCACCAAAAAAAATTTTAATGGACATTTTATAACCTTGACTTGGGTTTGGGATTTGTGACCTTAACTTGTGGCAAAATATGACTGACTTCACATATTTGGAGGGTTTTTAAGGCTTTGTATATCTGTAGGGCCTTTTGCTATTGACTTCAGTACAACCAGTCTTATGTGTCTTTGAGCCAGCCTCCAACAGTCATGACATAAACAGTTCCTCGCATTTAGCTCGGATGGTTATCACTTGGATTTTACAAGCACAGTTTGGTGATCCCAAGTGGCAGCAGCACATAACTGTGAATTCTGAAGAACTTTGACAATTCTGAAGTGCCTGCAAATTATGTAACATGTTGTCAGAACACTGCAAACTCCTCAGCACTAAGACAAGGTCAGGGGGTGGAGGGAAGACTGTGACTGGAAAATGCTCCAAGATCAGGCAGGTACAAATCAGTGTTGTTACATAAATCCTATTAAATCATAGATATGTTTTCACATATTTTTCATCATTTAATTGTTGTCGGTAACAAACTCCTCTATTTTTGCTTTTGAATACTTATTCTTTTAGACAAACTCAAGTTACACTATTATTACTTAATGTTGTTCCAGAAGCCACACTGTGCTGTTTATTTATATAGACCTTCATTACAAAGCAGTCTCAAAGGACTTCAGACTGGATGATAAAATCGTGTTGATGCACCTTCAGGCAGGACACCGTCTCACTTCTGTCCTAGTTTAAGCCCCAGTCACTGTCACGTCTCTGTCCCATTTTCTGGGCCAGGCCCCATCGAGTCAGTCCCACACTTGGCTGACTAATATCCACCTTTATCTGATGATACTTAGAAAAGCTTCAGTTCCTAAATGATTTGAGGTGCAAATAATCGTAAACAGGAATAGCATAGTTCAGTAAGATTTGCTACCTCTGATGAATTACACCAGTCACATATGAGGCAGGTGCTAGAAAAGGAGACAGAAAAAGGAAAGAGGGAGAGAAATGGAGGCTAGAAAGAACTTTAAGTGGATTATAGGCCAAATATTAACAGACTACAAGCCTACAGCAGAGCTAGTAAGGCTGTACTTAGGCACAGGGATGCTATGAGCTAAGTGGGAGCTCTAATGAGCACTAAAAGCAACATGGAGCTGGAAAAAATGTCAAGGGGCTCAAGTCCCAGGCCCCAGGAGTACCCAGGGCCTCTCGAGACATGCTTAAAAAAATGTTTAAATATATATATCATGAATTATAATGTACTTTTTCTCCACTGCTACAAACAGTATTGGGCCACGGAAGTCACAGAGGTTTCCTGTGCAATAGCTATGGTGATCAGCTCACTGTAGTGCAGAACAAACTGGTCACACTGTCAGTTCAAGGCGGGAAAATCATGCCTTGCCGTTGGTTATATAAGGTACGATGACGGAATTAGGGAACAGAGTTGTCTCGCTTCGCAGTTGGAAATGGAGGTAGTAACCACCGAAACAATGTCTCTAGGGACAGCCAGCAGGACGGGACCTTGGTGTGATATTTTGACAATGTGTTAAGTGTCACCGCAGAAAATTTAAAAAGTAGCCGGTAGCAGCTAGCAGCTAACTCAAAAAAAAAAAAAAGAACAGCAGCTGACAATGTCCACAAACTGGGAAAATAATGAGGTCCAGGAGCTCCTTACCCTCCAAGCAGAGGACAAGATCAGCCACCATGTAACAGAGACGGTAAATGACTGTTATGATGCTGCTAATGTGTGTTACATGTCACACTAGAGTCTGACACTGTTGTGCTGCATGTCACGCCCGTCACCCTTCTTTTGATTCCATGATGACATGAAGCAGTCTATAATCACACACGGGAGCAGCATCATTCCACAATTGTTTGGTTTAGTAATGCAAAGGCAGCATGAAGACGGGACTTTGTAGCAGCTCTAAAGTGCAATCACTGTGTGAAGAGGGCTAAAGAAAGACTGATCTTCTGCTGTCGTCACTGTGCACACATACCAACTCGGCTGAAAACCTAGCTTTGGCTTTACTTACCGTTTATGTATTGTCTTATATTGATTCATTTTTATTTTCTGTTTACTAATTACTAGAACACTTTATTTAGTATTTGTCACTGTCCATTGACGGAGGGAGAGAATACCTTCCAACATCTACAGCTCAGGGCACAAAGAAATATTGAGACACCTATGCAGCTGAGTCAGTGTTGTTTGGTGCTGAAGACAAGAAAGGAGCTGAAGAAAAGGAAATCTGTGGGTGAAAGAAGTGAGCCTCTAGTTTGAGTGGCAGGTGGAAAGATTATCAAATAAATTAATATAAAATACAAAGCAACCTTAATTTTACTAAAAATTTAATCAATCTTTATTTAACTGGCCAGAAAAAAAACAGCCAGATACACACATTTAGGATTTAATATTCTGGAAAACAGCAATCACATGAAACCTCTCAGGATGCTTAACATGTAATTCAAATCATGAGCCACTGTTGTTGAGTTGAAATAAAAAAAGATAAAAACAGATTTAGAGTAAAAGACAAATCCAGCATAAGGCATCTTCTTGTAGAATGTGCACTTCTTAGAAGATTTTCTATCTGCAGGAATAAAAATAAAACTCTTCATGCTGAGATCCAGCGGGGGATTTTGTTCACCGTTAAGATGTGAGGCGGTGAAATGATCAACTGCTGACATTTTTCCTTAAAAATTGATTTTAGAACTGCAGTAGTGCATCTATTGCTGGAACTCTTTTTCCAAATCACCAGCTTTTGTTTCCCTTTTTATTTTTCTCTTCAAGGACAAAGAAGCTACTTGTACTGATGAAGAGCTTAGATTTGATTGAAGCGCTTTATAAGAGGTTAGAAAGGTTTGTCTCTATTTGTATTTGTATGTGCTGGAGTGACATTACACTGAGTTTGATTGGATGACAAATATCTAAAAACAATAGTTTTCATCTACAAGTCAAAGCTGTTTTCAGCATTTCTGAATAGATCCAAAATTAATACAAATCCCATACAATTCAAATGCGTTTGTAACGTACATGTACTTGCAAAAATGATGTTCAGTGGAGACACATAATCCACTCATGGTCAGATCAACATATTATAGATGAACAGAAAATCTTGTCTTAGAAAACCAAAATCTTGTTTATCTGAAAATCTGCACTGGACAAAAATGTAGTAAATGTATGTTTTGGTTTTTTAAATTCACATGAGATCACTGTTTTGTTTTTCCCCCCTCAAATCTCTGGGAATGGATAATTTAACTGCTGAAAATGGACACAAAGCTGTAAATGTTTTGGTTTTTAATAAAATAATGCATTAATGTACATTTTTCCATCACTATCATCAGCATTTTTGGCTTTATACACTCCCTCACACAGACACATCCATCTTCACATTTGTTTGATCATCTGTTTAGAGTGTTGGTGCACAGCTTCGACGAAGGCGCCCACGTTCTCCGGGTCCATGTCGGGGTAAAGGCCGTGGCCCAGGTTGGCGATGTAGCCCCTGGTGCCAAAACCCTCCAGCATCTTCTTTACGATGTCCGAAATGCGCTCCTGATGAAGAGGAGGAGAAGGAGAAAGAGAAAGAGGGAGAGAATTAAAGGTAGGGATCAACTGGCAGACCTTTTAGATTAGTCATGGTTCAACAAGGGCTTTAGAATATTTATAATAAGTCCATAAGAGTATCTGAGTGAGACATACTTTGCTCAAACTGGGTCAGAGAGGAACATTTATAGGAACTTGTGGTGAGGAGTTATAAATTGCCCTACTGTGTGTAAACAAAAGTTTGTCAGAATGAATAACAGCACTTCACCATATTATGTTGAAATGTATGAATTGAAATAATGCGGAATAAAAATAGGATTAACAGCATATATGCGAGTGCTGAAAATAGCAGCAGCAGCACTTGAGAAAAGTGAAGAGTAGCAGTAGTTTATTTCATGAGAAATAATACTAAATTCTTCTCTGGAATCCACATTCAACAACTCACACTAAACAGTTTACTTAACAGAGGTCGCTGGTGGCTCATTTCTAAATTAACAGCTGTGTTAGAATGTAAGTTCATTGCAAACAATTTATACAATTCAATTTCAATTCAATTTTATTTATAAAGCCCAATATCACAAATCACAATTTGCCTCACAGGGCTTTACAGCATACGACATCCTTCTGTCCTTATGACCCTCGCAGCGTTTAAGGAAAAACTCCCCAAAAAAAACCCTTTAACGGGGAAAAAAAACTGAAGATTTTCCAGTAAATGTAAGGAAACAAGCTAATCCATTTCTGTCTGTAACAGGACAGGTGTGTCATTGCTTTAACAGGACATTCGAAGATCTACTCCGTGGATTCAGGAGATGTCTTGCAGCCTGGCATTACAAAAACACACTTACACAGTAAGTTACAAGGTAAGTTGTGGATATGGGTGCCTTTCTTACATTACATGTCACACCTGACTGTGTTGGTGTCTGTGATCAGACAAGGGGCTTCAAGCAAGAATTGTCTGTAAGTGGTTTATAGAAGCCATTTGTGGCATTCACTGATTTTCTTGTATGTAGAATTTAATGCCTCTCTCCACTGGGGAAACACTTGTTTGTCCTGAAATCAAAATACCTTAATCTGAATGACTTAAATCTGAAACTGACACAGAAATTAATTATGATAAAATATGAGACGAAAGCAAAATTAATATATTTTTACGTCATTATGACTGGCCAATTTGCTGAGATGGGTTTTTTTCTTTTTTCTTTTCTTTCTTTGTACATGTACATAAGGTGTTCGTCTTTTCAAAATCAGTAAAGATAGTTTTGAAACTAGAATTAGCACTTTGCGGTTGTATGCCTCCGTGAACAAGTCAAGTCTCAGTTACAGTTTACATCCATGTCTGTGAAAACATGAGTGCTTCACATACATCTTCCCCCCAGCAGCACAGAAAATCTATACAATCAGCGCAGTTTCAAAATGGACACCAAAGATTAGTGTCACCAATTCAGTATCTGACCAAATGTCTCCCCTTCTGTTCCTGAGATATGATGCTGAGGAATGGCCAGGAAAGTGTTTTTGCAGAACATTATGATGTCACAGTGAATTTGGCCTTTGCCTTTTTGGATATAAAATGTTGTCACTTCCTCATTTTATCCTATTAGACATTTGTGTAATAATTTGTCCTAGTTAGCCCATGAATTCTTGAGTTATGGTCAAAAAACATTATATGTGAGGTCACAGTGACCTTTGACCTTCAACCATCAAATTCTAATTAGTTCATAAGTCCATGTGAAGTCATTTATGCCAAATTTGAAGACACTTCCTTAAAGCATTCTTAGAATATTGCGTTGACTAGAATGGGATGGATGCACGTACAGACAGACAGCCAGACAAAACATAACACTCCAGCCATGGATGTCGCTGGCGTGAAGGCATAAAAAACAGGACAAGAACAGGGAAAAAAAATGTTTGCGTCATTGTTTGGGAGCCTAAACCAAAGAGAGATTGGAGGTTACCTTTGTAGCGTAGAGTGCACAGGGGTCCATGTTTCCCTGCAGGCTGACCTTCCCTCCTGTGCGCTCCCTGAATACACACAGACACACACAACACAGGACACACAGGGTAATCCTTTAACCAACAGGTTAAGCATTTGATGAGCGGAGCAGGACGCACAAATGTTTGTTGACTTAAATCCTGCACCCAGTGACATACCAGGGATGAGGGACAGGTCACTAATGGTTAACCTGCTCCTCAGGAGCACGACAGTGCGGTTCATGACCAGTGCTACTGACTGCCTCCATCTCTGAGATGTATTCACCTTCAAGCTATTTCGGCAGTTTGACCATGACAGTGGATTTTGGATTTTGTGTATTGATCCTTTTCTATTCCTGCTCACATTCCAGAGATGTCTCAACATCGTAAATCTTACAAACTACCACCGGAGGTGCCAGCTCTGGTTGAAATTCAGATTTCTATTACTTTTTCACAAATAGCCGATGGGCTGATGTAGCATATTTAACACAGAGCTTAATGCAGAGAAGATATTCTAGAAGGTGCAGTTCAGATTTAGATTTTTAAATGATTTAATTTTTTGTGTCACGTTGTCCTTTTATAACCAAAACAGCATTTTAAGGAATTATTGGAAAATGTATCAGCAGTAAAGTAAGGGCAGCTCTCTATAGGTGTAAGCGTGCGTGTGTACGTGTGTGTGTGTGTGTGTGTGTGTGTGTGTGTGTGTGTGTGTGTGTGTTACCGTGCTGATTGTGGGTCAATGGTCCAGTCCAGCCCAACCACCTCATAATTAGACTGAGACAGGTCCTCTAGACCGTAGTGAGCGTCCTTTGCAAACACAATCTGGCAGACACACAGCCACAGAGAAGTAAAGAGTTGATTTTCAAAGCAAGCGGGAAGCTTCATGAACCATTTTTGGTAAAATGCTGCCATCTTGTGGTAATAAAATATAACAGCTATTTCTCTAAGACCAGATGAATCCTTAATGATCCCTCCTGGGGAAACTGTGTTGTTGAAGCAACAGAGTGATAAGAATAGACCAGAGTCTTGAAACTAATATAGTTAGTAATTATAACAACAGAACACACAGAAAACACAGCAGATAGATAAATAAATAAATATAAAGAGCTGTCACAGTTGACTCGTTTGCTGTTTGGATGATGTGCAGCTGTACATCATTAGCCACTGACACTGTCAAGAAGAGCACGTGCAGAAACGTGACAAATTAAAAAAAACAAAACACATGCACAGTGTTACCACAGGAGTCTTTAGGGCATATATATTTATATTTGAAGAAGCACAGTTAAGCTTGTGTGCAGCTGTCTCTCACCATGGGTACGTCCTGTCCTGACTCCTTTAGTTTATCTTTGACGCGGCGTGCGATGTCTCGAAGGTAAGGCAAAGAGAACTCTTTAAACTCATCTGGAGCCAGAATGCCAGCGTGGGACTCAAACACCTGCAGAGCCTGAACAACACACACAGAGCAGAGGATAAAGAATTTCTTTTTAAAACCTGCAATAACTGATTATACATATCATCAACTTATTAAGTTAATATGGCAAGCAAGTTAGCAAACAGTTGCCAATTTAAATATTCAGTAGCGTGGGAGCAACATAAGTATTTGTTTAGAGTTGTGTTTGCCTCCTTTCAATGAAATTCAGTCCTACATTCACTCTCTTTTAGCTCTGGTTTGGTCTCCACCAACTCATGAGGGAAATACCTGGCTTTTTAACTGCTAAATGCTCCACTGTGTCCACCTGCTAGGCACTAACTCTGTCTGTCTGTTGTTTGGTTCTGGGCAAGTCGTGTCAATGAGTTCATGATTTTAGGACAAAAACATGGTGATGACTTAAAATTCCGGAGAAACTTTTGACCATTTACAGCTTTAGGTTAATTTTGCTACTCTTCAGTTTACTGCAATGTGCACCATCCAAGCGTGGTAGCAAGCTTGGTCATTAACGCCGTCCCTTAATACATCCATGGCCACGAACCAACAATGTTGCCGTGGAAATACTGTGCCCACCCTCCAGTCTCGCACCAGCTTGCCTCAGTGAGTAAGCTTTTAGCATTGCTGGCTATGTAACCACTGTTAGCAGTGTCAACACAGCTAGTGGTGTTAACATAGTAAGCAATGCTACAAGGGTTATGTGATTTAAAATAAAGCCAGTTACTCATTGGGGAGACTTGGGGAGAGACTGGAGGATAGGCATAGTGTTTCCGCAGCAGTGCATTTTGGTCTGCCATCAGGGTGGTGTTACCAGTTGTAATCGCCAAACAAGCAGTGCTGCTAGCTAGCTTAAGTTAGTTCACTCCCGGCCTGGGAGGTGCAGAGCAGAGTCCTGCACTGCACTGGTGCACTGCACCCTGCACAGCTGATTTGCGGGTGGTTTTTAAAAAAACATTTTTTCCCGGGTTCGGATCTGGGTGGAAAAAATAACATGCGGGTCGGATCGCAGGTTTTAGATAAACACATCAGTCATTAGCTCGGTAAACTACAGATAACTATCTTGGTCATTATTTACTCTCTGAGGATTACCTCCGCTATTTCGCAACGGTCATTGGTTCAGCTGTTTACACGCGTTTCACCATCTAATAACACAATTTGTGATTGGACGACAGAATCAACATGGCTGCCACCGTCTAACAAGCGCTGCTTTCAAAACAGTAAATAATTATTTAGGTATTTGAGAAATAAGTGGATAAAACGTACAACTATCACTTTATAATGTTTCTGAAGTGTTTCCCTGATGGATTACTTCTCTCCTCGATGGATTCTAAAAACACGTGATGGCTCGTAACTGCTGAACGTCGCTCTGGACAGAAAGTAAGTCTATTATTACACATGTAAAGTTCCTTTACATAGATTAAAAGTTTAAAAGCATTAAATGTAACAAACCAGTGTTACTGAAGTCAGGTTTTTATTGTGAGAGCTGCTTCATTCAGGTCGTTGTTTACTCACTGGCACCTTAACTGTGGCGATATGCTGTTCAATATTCAGCCAATATGACCCAAAATGATTACTTTAAATCTGGGTTACGGTCGGGCTGCGGGTCGTGTTTCAACGGGTCGGACCGGGTTGTGGTACTAATTGGCCTGATGTGCGGGTTTGCGGTTCGGGTGCGGGTTTGTACGTCGCCAGCTCGGGTCGGGGCGGATCTTGAAAACTGGACCCGTGCAGGACTCTGGTGCAGAGTGGCAAAGAAACCAGAGGTGACTGGAGTTGGGGCAGTAGGGATGTTTTCAAATGTTAACACTGCTGGCCGGCAGTCTGTTAGCAAAGCCATCAGAAAATAAAAGTCAAACATTTACAACACAGAGCATAAAATGTTCACCACCTCTAAATGGATAGCACCTTGAAATGCAGTGCAACAGCTGGCCACGTCAATGGAGCGCAGGACTAAAAGGAAAGGCCTTTTGTAGTTCATGTCTTTTTATCTTAAAATTGACCGGTTAGTTACCAGTTAATGGGCGTTGGTCTTTCAAAAGCCAACTTTACCGAAACTGACATTCCTACTTGTTAATATAAAAATATTATTGATAGCAGCTTGAAGTTCACCTAAATGAACACAGTTAAGTATTTGTCAAAGGGTCACCCAATCAAGATACCCGAATGACTGTGTTGTCATCACAGGTTTACAAATAATCTAAAAAATACTGTAGAGTGCAAAACAATATTCTCCCTTTTCTCACACTGTTCTGCCAGAAGGTCAGAGGTCGAGGACACTCGAGCAGAGAGGATGCTTGCCACTTCAAGACAAGGTTGATCCATGTGAAAGGACTCTCTCTAAAGTCACCCTGCTACCCCAAATACTGATATCTGCAGTAAAAATGGCAGTGCACTCTGCTGGTCTGACATTGTCTACACTTTCTGTAAAGATTAGGTTTGTGCTCTCAGGCTGCGCTCAACTTTTTTTGGGGAGAAAATGCTGCCCCAATCACATTTTCTGCTGATACTGAGAGGCAGGTTTGTTTCCATACGGAGTGTGTGTAGGAGCTGCCGCAATCAGCAGTATTTATGTCCAAACTCTGAAATACTCTACACAATATGCCTTATACTCAGTCGCAGAGGTTTTCAAATTTTTTTTAATCCTATTGTTGTTAACAGTCAGCTTTCCACATATCAGGAAAAACTGCAGACTCTATCTTTTAACTTGATTAAGATACAAAATCAGAAACATTCTAATTTTCATGTGTCATGGCGGTGGTGCAACATAATCAAAATTGTATACACGTGTCCAGAGATTAGAAAGCAGAGGGTGTAACCTGAGCTCCAGCTGCCACCTGTCCCAGCAGATACTCCACTATCACATCTGTCAGCATCCTCAGCAGCATGTGGCTGGCCTCAGGGTGTCTGAAGAGCCAGTGCTTCGACTTAGAGAAGGTCTTTGAGCCCCCGCCTTCTATCATGTAGGACATCAGCGTCCACTGTGAAAGGACACAGCAAAGAGGGGAGAGTAAGAATCACAATACTCTGATTTCATTTTCTTTTTTTATGCTTTTCTATACATTGATAAACGTGTCTGTAAATGTGTCTAACCGGAGCTCCAGTGAATCCTATGAGCGGCACTTTGCCCTCTATCTTGTGTCTGGTCAGTGTGATGGCTTTGAAGACGTAGCCCAGCTCTTTCCCCACGTCCACTTTGGTCTGCAGACGCTGCAGGTCTTCTGGCTCTTTCAGGGGCTCTGGGAATGTAGGACCTTTACCTGCCACCATCTGGACATCCATACCCATGGCCTGGAGAGAGGAAGATGAATAAAAGAAATCATATGGCCCATAGTTTTTTCAATAAACAATACAAATATCTAACTCTTTATAGTTGGTTTATGATTTTAAACTGTTCAGAGTGTCCATCACCCTCAACTCCATGCAAACAAATGCCTAGTAGCTCATAAAAAAAGGATTACACTGACATGACCGAAATTATCACACCCAGCTATATATTACTACATTTTGTGTTACGTGAGGGTTTCAATATGTTTGTAGAACTTGTAGAATTTTTTTTTTTGTCACTTCGTCTCAAATTACCATGTAAGCTAACTGATTATGTTTTTGTCCACCTGACGACACTAAGTACACTAAAATTTGGTAAATCTGTGGGCTACAAAAACAAGGAGCTTAAGGAGGCTAAAACTACCCACAGGCAAACCCTCTTTAAATGACACACAGTAATTTGATTCTATGTTATTACGCCATTTACACATATCCAAAAGAAAATGAGAGAAGAAAGAAAGATAACAGAGATGTGCAGTCAACATGCTACTGAATGAACCTGTCCTTATAGCTTTACCTGTGGGATAACCAGGATGTCAGAGAAGATGATGGCAGCATCGAAAGGAAAACGTCTCAGAGGCTGAAAGTAGAAAAAAAGGACATTTAACAAATACAAATAAATGGATAACACAAAAATAAAAGAGTGGTTGTTGTTTCTTGTCTTGCTGTGGTGGCCTACAGATATTTTATTATTATTAATTTACAACTGTACTATTATTAAGTAAATCAGTCAAGTAATTCATTTTTGTGAATTAATTTTAATTCATTTGCACATTGTAGCTTCTTCTTTCAGTGTGGTATTAAGTAATAAAAATACACTGCGGCAAAAGGCACCAAAATTAGTGAGTTGCGATGAAAACGTAATCTTTCAGACAAAATAAAATAATAAGTCACACTTTGGAGAATGAGATAGTGTGCTAGAGGACTGTCTTTATCATATAATACTCACAAAAAAACTCAGATGCTCTTGAAGAAAAGGGTCAGCACATGGGAAGAAAAACTGAACTTCAGGCACTGCAAAAGGGAGGACAGGTGACAATGTTTGCTTGACTACTGTCCACCCTTTTGCACCCTGACGTACACCATAGAGTCGAAACCGGTTGGTGTTTTAATGTAAGCAGCTATGTTTTGAAATACAGGCTTTTTAACTTAATTCAAATGCATCTGTTCCTGCTCAATGCATGAGTGCCTGAAGTTCATTTTTTCTTCCCACAAAATACTTAATGATTAAATTAATGTAACGTGATTTACAATGGGTATTTGCATGTAGGAAACAGCCTTAAGTGGGGTGTTGAACTCATCTTAGTTCACAGGCAACATACAGTCCGAGGTGGGCTGGACCTGAGACTTTCTATACCTTTCACTCTCCTGTGTAGTCATCTTGACATCACCACACCGAACTTAAGTGAAAGAAAACTGTATTCTGGTTCGGGTGGAAAAGCCTTTGAACACCATTTTACATGAAGAAGGTGCACAAGGTCATCCAGTGGGCAAGTCTGGACCCTTTGGCGGGCTGGTTCTGGCCCCCGGGGCTGCATGTTCGACACCCCTGGCCTCAAGTGTTGTTATACTAACACTGCTGTCTTGGAATTTAACATTCTGAAAACAAATTTTTAAAAATTACGTATTAGGCCTTTGATAGCAATCTGTAAAAGCACTGCTTTACCTGCAGAGTGAGCTCGCAGCAGGCCTCTGGTGACCGACATGTCTCAAAGAAGTCCTTCCCTGCTCTGGACTCACGAAACTCTGCAATTTAGATTCAACAAAACGTTAATGTCTTACTGATGTTTTAAATGTTTTAATGTCATTTGTAATAAAATTGTACTTTTTAAAGACATTTATTTGAAGTTGATAGAAAAACAAAACAACGATGCAGAGAAAGTTTTTAACTTTGTAAGGGAAAGAAATCTGTATTACAGAAAAGAAAACAAAGAAGCACTGATCACAGTACCTGGTAGATATCTTCCGGCCTGTCTCATACACCAGACAGGGACATGTGTAGTTTCTTCTCCTCGTGCTGCTCGCAGGAATGTATCATTTTGGAGCTGGGGGAAGTCTTTGGGGCTGAACAGAAAAAAAAAGGTCTAGTCTCTGTTGTCATCAAGCAATTCTGCATTAATTAAAAGAGGACTACCCCTCTGCTTCATTGAGAACCTTTTTTTTAATGAATTGCCCTTTATGAGAGTGAGGTTTGGATGGCAGTGTCCTAATCACTATAGTCTGAGAGCTACAATGCAATGCTAAGCTTCTGTTATCTAACATACAGGCAAACCCCTCCCTTTCCCCAGCAGTCATACAGGCATCCAGCTGTAGAGCTGTCAGTGACTGAGATGAGTGATAACACTTGTCTGTCCTCTTATCATCCTCCAGCAGCAGGAGAAAAACGGTTGAATGAAAGGCCGCTGTGGATGTCTCCGTGATGCATCACAGCCTGACTGAAATTCAAACTTTGACTTGATCCTGCTTTTCCAGTAACTTAAAATAGAAACCACTAAAGCATCTACACAAAACAAATTATGTTAACTATCCTGTAACACTTTCATAAATGCAGAATTGCTTAGATTTTACTCAAATGATGTAGAAATAATGGCTGTTGGTGTTAAACAGCATAACTCAAGAAGAGCTGTGATCTTCTATTTATTCTGCTTTCATCCAGTACCAATAACAATGCTAACAATAGATTTATTCCCACAATACTTATCACTACACAGCACTATGGAGATTAAGGTAAGTAAAACTAAACTAAACAAACAGGAATAACAATACTAGTAATAATAACGACAATGTTACGATTTAAAAAGAATAAACTACTCTTTAATGAATTTTCTCTGTGCCGAATTTATCTGAGGATCCAAATGATTCTTTAAAGCTAATAACTTGTGTTGCAAAGGATACTCACTTTTCCATGTGAGCGAAAGAATATTAAAATGTTGGTTTTGTGAATGAGATTCCTCTATGAGATAATGATCAGTGCTTACCAGGGGTAAGTATGTAACGTTAGTGGTTATGAGCGGTAAATGTTACTCTAAAACAGTGAAGACGGGGTTATAAACGCTGGACATAAACTCATTGCACATTGCGTGTAGAGATGCTTTCATAAGAATGACACAGGCATATTTCATAACGTCACTAAGCTAGCAGCCGAAATGCTCGCGTTAACCTCAGTGTACTTCAGTATGTTTAGGCTAACAACAAAAGAACTTACAGGATTAAACCGTCCTTGCTCATGTCGGCAGGGCTGAGGAGGTGTCAGGTTTTCTCAGACGCTCCTCTGTCTCTCTGTGAAGAAGTCGGTTGCGACCTGCAGCTCCTCAACTGTCATTAAACCTGCTTGCACTACTGTTTCAGCTCAGACCCCCCTTCTCTCCAGGGCGCGGCCATATTGGAAGACCATGTGACCAAACCAGGAAACGAGCCGCGCATTCAAAATAAAATACTTTGCCCTTTTCTTTAATAAAATGGATTTATGTGTTTGTTTTTCTATTGTTTGTAACTCATGAGTAATAAAATTGATAAAATATTATTAATTAAACACACTAAAAAACGGGTTTCTTTTTCTTTACAAGATAAACAATGTTATATTGTGAAAAAAAAGATTTAGTTTTTAAATACTCCTCCATTATTGTATTTTCTCTGAGTTACCTTAAAATATAAATTTTAAATCAAGGTCTGTGTAGAGCGTCTGAACTTTGATCTTTGTCGTACAGTTTAAATTTTATACATCAATATCTATGATATATTAAACCTCTAAAAGTATATACCTGTACCAGGACTAAAAGCTTGGGAGGGAAAGATATTTCAACTAGGACAGTAGTTAGACTGAGATGTAATTTGGAATAATGTCACTGGTACTTGGAAAAACCCAAATCATCCATAGGCAAGATAGGCCTGCATTATATTTTGTCATGTCGTCTAACACTAAGACATAGACATCAAATGGGACTGGAACCTGACTATTATGCCCATTTTGCTATTAAAGAACCATTGGCTCTTTTATATGTAGGAATGTGCAGGGGTTTAGGCTCTGGGAGGAATGGTATTAGTACCCCTTGCAGAATTAACAGGGGTACAATTACAGGAAAAAAGAACATGCAAAGTCTGGCTAGCAAGCCTGGCTGCAGCTAAGAAAATTGACGTCTTGTGTCAGAAATCTGCTTATAATAATTATTGGCTTCAGAGCTTTTTGGACTTTTGGATTTCTGACCTGGAGCTATCACTAAGTAGGCAGTGATGCACTACCAAGCACGATTTTAATGAGGACAAATATGATCTCTAACTTAAAAGATCCTCTGTCTTAATAAGGAGGCTCTGTCAGTGTAAATATTGCTATGCTGTTGGAGGGCGGAGGGGGTGGGGGTAGCTGGGTTAAACAATTGTCTTTAATTTGTTGGTGTTGGAATAAATAAAGGTGATTAAAAATACAGAAATGTAAATCTGACAATTCTTTCTTTTGGGTGTACCTTTTGATACAAAGGACATGGCGCTACATGTGTCTTTATAGTTCTCTCAGGTCACTGCCATTAACATGGATGCAATAAGTTACTGACAATTGAATTCAAATTTTATGATCAGTTAGTTTTTGAGAAAATCAACAAAATCACTCAGGATGGGTTTCTCAGTGTAAGCGTAAGCATTGAAATATGACTTGAATGTACAACCACATGGAACACAAAATAAAATTTACTGCATACACCCTCAGTCCACACAAAATGTACATACTCTCTTTTCAAATAGCGACTACTATACAACACAAAATGCTCAACAAACAGCTCACAGTTCCAATGTTCACAAAAGCCCATACAGTATTTGGATATTGTTTCTTTGCACATTTAAGGTATAGTTTCAATGCAACATCCAGATCACAATTCTGATTATACAATACACATTTGAACAAACAAACAAAACAAGCAAGAGCTACAGCACTTCAATATGAAGTGGACTAAAGGTGATCGACCCTTCACTGGGCAATGAAACAGCAAGCAAACAGAAACAACTCAAACATAAACAGTATGTCTTCCAAAGTGGGGGTCCCATTGTTGGAGCAGCTTATGAAATCATGAAATGTAAAACGGATAGACATAAACATATGAATATATTTTTTGTAGAGCATAATTTGCTTTTAACTGTCGTATCTACCCAAATTGAAATGTTATTATGGAACATCATAACATATAATAATGCTTTTTACACATCGGGCAGATAGAAGATGTAAGTTTCACTAATGACAGCCTCTGAGATGGAAACATTGTGAATACATTTGTTCAAAGAACAATTCAGTCATTTACTGTAAATATCAGAGCAATAAAATGGCACATTATGAGTTTGAATACAAAGATATGATTGTGAAATGTTTACTCAGTATGAAAAAGTGACCAGAAGTGTACATTTAACAGCTATCCCTACAGGCAGCATGTCCTTTTTCCCATTTTGCATCATTATTTACACAGACACTATGAGGCAGCTGTTTGTACTGAAATCAAGACACTAAACCTCCTGTATCGTGTCCTACCTTAGCAAACTTTTTGTATAATGTCAGCTGTTTGTTCAGTCCCTCTGTACACAAACCTATATTGAAATTTATTTGGTCCAAATATTTAAACGCCTAAACACAAGACACCAGTGTCAAATGTAAAAAGAAAATGACACGATTAACTATCTGTATCTGTTATATATAATGCTAATCTGTGCAAAAGCCATCTCCTGTATACCCCAGAATATGCTTACAGGTGAGATTAAACTGCACATGTATAATAAATGAACAGACAGGAAGCACTGTGAGTGGCTGCAGTAGCAGTATATCCTGGAACCTGCATCTTCTCAACCGTGACTATTAAGGAAATACATTGTATAGATGTATAGAATGTGGCATATGTACAAAATATTACAAACCTAAATCTTAATGAGCTCCAAACATAATCTGGAGTGAAAGTGAAATGTCTTTATGTGTCAAAGCTGAAAGTGTCCCTCTCTATGGTTGTTGCTGGTACTGTCCCTCTGTGGCAGTGTAGAAGTCATCCAGGACGCTCTGCATGTAGTCAAAGGTGGGCCTGTCCTCAGGTTTGCTTTTCCAGCAGGACATCAAGATCCTGTAGAGCTCATCAGGACAGTTGTCGGGCTGAGGCATCCTGTAGCCGCGCTGCACAGAGGAGATCACCTCACCTTTAGTCATACCTGAGGACAATACAGGCAGAGAAGGAGGTGTGAATACTGACATTTTTAAAGAGAGGCAACACACTGGTGAAAGCACTCAAGTTCATCATTTTGAGCATAATAATCACCAGTAGAGGGCAGTTAAGCTTCATAACTCTAAGACCCCAATGTTTCATTTTGGTTACCAGTGCTTACTAATCAAGCAAAGTTGGTAACTACCTCTGGGGAAAAAGATCCCCAAACCCCCCTGGGCCCACAAAAGCCCCAGGTTTACTTGGGGAAACTATGTTATGGTAATGCTTGTAATAATAATGACATATGAGCATAGCACATAGTTGGATGTAAACATAGTGGGTCTCATTCATGAAAAGTGAGTAAATCTGTGTGTAGATTTGCACATAAAAACCTACGCTACTAAAAACCTATTCCGGATTCAGGAACGCCGCGGGAAATTTGATCGTAAACACGTGTGTATGATCATGAATGCCAATCCATCGTAAAGTGACAGCGCGCTCCCGGTAATCAGCAATTAGCGTAAATCCCCACCCATGAATAGCCAATGACCACCATATAAAGAGGTGTAGGTGCATCCTGTCGACCTGTCAGTCATGGCGCAAAGAAAGAAAGAGAGAGAAAGAAAAAAGATTTTTTCCGAAGCGGAGATCGAAATAATTTTGGGCGAAGTGGACTTAAAAAAAAACATTTTATTTTTTTCAGTTAGTAGTGGTGTGACAGGGACAGGCAAAGCGAAGGCCTGGAGGGAGGTAACAGATGCTGTTGTCTCCGTGGTACAAAGAACCATGTCAGAGGTGAAGCATAAATGGCTTGATATGAAACTGGAGGCAAAGAAACGCATAAGCACACACACACAAAAAATACAGTGGTCACCAAACAAACAAAAAATTCATTTGCGGGGTTTTGAATGAAGTGGGAACGGGAAACCAGAGATGTTTTGTGCGTAATGGATAAACTCTAAATCAGTGATGGCTGTCGGAATGTAGAGCTATTTAACATTTATTTTAACAAATGATATGGATAACATATAGCCTACAGCAGTTTTGTATGCATCGTCTTCAAATTATTTTAATCTTAATAGCCTAAAGCTCTGTTTTATACAACGTAAATTAAACATTTTTCAAATCAGATTTATTCATTGAAATGATCAAAAAGCCACAAAAAACAACAACAACAACAAAAAAAAATGTGTTGTCTCAAATAATTCTCTCAGCTGGTGCGTGCTCCTTTGTGGCTCCACCACCTGCTGCTCCTGCTGCCCCTGTTGAACCCAGGCACCGAGGCCGAAGAGGCTGTGATCCGGCTGTCCTTATGGATATTTTTATTATCATCACTCAACATGTAGAAAGAATGTAAGAATGTAATCTATTGAGTCGATTTACATAGATAATTCACAATCATGAACCTAATCTGGATCTTAAACCTGCTAATTGCCAACTAATGTAACTAAATGTGTTATATTTTTAATATTTTTGTCATGTTTAGATTACGTGTTTCAAAGGCATCTGTGTATTGTGTACATAACAGAGTGCAATACGAATTAAAATTGTAATTTCCAATAGTGAAAAGCAATATTTATGTGCTTTACTAAATTTACACAAGCACTACGAGTGGTCAGGAGCACGAGTAGATTTTGTTAGTAGCTATGAAAAGATAGGAGCTACTAAAATATTGATGAATGCGGACATGCACGTAAATTTCTATCTGCGAACAGTTTACACACAAATTCCTTCTGCTCACGTTTCATGAATAAGACCCATAGTGTTTACCTGGGTATGGGATTTTCCCGTAGGTTATAATCTCGTAGAGCAGAACTCCAAAGGACCACATGTCTGACTTGATGGTGAAGGAGCCGTAGTTGATGGCCTCCGGAGCGGTCCACTTAATGGGGAATTTGGCTCCTGAGGAGAACACACACAGTTACACACAAACACAGGTCATGTCACCATTAATTATTACCACCAGGTTATACTGAAATCAGAGGTGTAGACTGGGGTCAAATTGTTGGTGCAAGATTCAAACGAGTCACAAAGTTGATGACTTCAGACTTGACTTTATGAAATCAAAAAAGACTTGCAGCTTGTCTTGGATTTCATACCAATGGCTTGTGACTTCATTTGGACTTGAGCCTTTTGATGTGGAGATACTTGATACCTTTCCCCAAACCCAAAGATTCAAAAGTATGGTATGTAAAGTGTGCCACAAATCATTTCCCTTCATTT